CCGCCCCCCCCGGGTTCCCAGCATGCGCCGCGCCGAAAGGACGCGGCGGGGGCGGGGCGAGAGAGGGGCGGGGCGAGGAGAGAGAAGGGCGTCGGTTTTGCGACAGGGGCGGTGCGGTTGCGGAAGCGGAAGTGGAGGGTGCGCTTGGCGGCGGCGGCGGGAGCTGCGGAGTCGGGAATCAAAACAAAGGGCCTGGGGGGGCGGGGGGAAGGCGGCGGGGCCGGAATGTGAGCGGAGGTGGAGCCGGCGGCAGAGGTGAGTGTGCTGTCGGCGCTGGGACCAGACCGGTAAGCCCCCGGCTCTAAGGCCACCTAGCTGGACGCTAAACTGCGCTTCCCCCTTGCCCCGCCTATTGCCGGTGGGGTGACTGGGGGAGAGGTTGGCTTGTCCGAGAGAAAGGATTGGGACCCCCAGTTGGGCCCCCGCAAGAGAGTTGGCTCGTCTCCCTTTCAGGTCCGTTCTCTGCTGTCACTGTTGGGGTCGCTGTTTCCCTTTGGGGGTATCTGGCTGCCCGCCCGCACCTGTCTGCCTGCTCTCCATGGGGCCCTCCAGGAGCGGGAAGTCACTTTCCCAGAGTGCACTGTCCGAGGGTTCAGAGAGTAGCAAAGGGACGAGTGTTTTTGCAGCCACCCCGAGCCGTTTGCATTCCGGGTCTTTTACAGCCCGTAGGATGTAGCCTCTGGCTTGACGGATTTGTGGAGCTGCCTTAGGACTTCAGCTACTTCGAGATACGCCTATTAGAGTTTTCCAAGCACTTTTCTGGGTTGCATTGTGTCTTTTGGACTTCTCTGCCTTAGGACTTCAGCTACTTGGAGATACGCCTATTAGAGTTTTCCAAGCACTTTTCTGGGTTGCATTTGTGTCTTTTGGACTTCTCTGCGTCTCTGAGCGGTAAATATTCTCCTGGTCTGCGTGCAGGGAAATGGAAAACAACACGGTCTTTTTAGACATTTATTGAGCGCTCTGTTCTTTCAGCAATTATTTATCGATACCTGCCAGGCGCTGTCCTAGGTGCAAGAGATACAAGAGTGAATAAGAAAACATGGGCCCTGCTGTCATGGAGTTTATATTCTGGCGGGAAGGATAAAATAGCAAGAAAACGAGTATTTTAGATAAAAGAGCTATGAGGAAAAAACAGTAATGGGGTAGATTGATGTGGAATCAAGGACTAGGTTGGGGGTTAAGGGAAGGCCACTAACCAAACGTTCCACATGGATTATCTCATGTAATCCAAACAAAAGCCTCAGAGAGGGTTTCTATTATTATCGCACCCATTTTAGAGATGGGCTCTGAGGTTCAGAGAGGTTGTGGGTTGTCCAAACCTGCACAGCAGTAGAATTGGATACAAAATGCAGACAGCCGTCAGGGCCTGTGCTCTCACTCACTATCTGAGTCGTTCAAAGACTTGGAGAAACAGCAGCAGAAGAGAGACCCCCTGCTCAAGTCAAACAGGACCTGCTTTGGCTACCCCAGTTGCTTAGTGGCCTTCCCAGGAATATTTCTGAAAATTTTAGGGTGCAGGATACTGACAAGTTTTTGCTTTTATTTACTTATATTGAGCAATATTGAAGGTACCTTGGTATAGTAGAAAGGGGTGAACAAGCCCCATTTTGCCCACTAATTGTTTGATCTCGGGCTGGCTACAAAACTTCAGGAAGCTTCTGTTTCCCCCTCTGTAAAATGTGATTCATTTCCCATGTCTACGTCACAGAATTATTGGGGACAAAAATTATATAAGTGGATCCCATTATCTGAGTTTTTAAAATCATTTTATACCTTGTGCCAAGCATGGGCCTGTTACATAGTAGACACTAAGAAAATATGTGATGAATGAGGAAATAATGTTAAATGAAAATTTTTTGTAAATGATATTATACTATAAATGTCAGCCCACTTTCAGTATTTGACTTTGAAGAAGTTTGAGACAGCGTGTTGAGCTTGTGTACACTGTGTTGAAATTGTGTACACTGTGAATATCACAAAGTCTTAGATTTAGAGAGGAGTGTATTGGAAAACATATACCTGTGTGTGTTTAATAGGAAAAATAAGAATCTATCAGTGGTGGCAGTTAGCTCCATCTCTGTCTCCTAATTAACCACTCCCAACAGTGTGTAGTAGGTAAATGGTGTACTTTATTAATTAAATTCCTCATTCAATAAAGTTTACTTTGTATCTACTATGTAGTGGGCCCTACAAGTTTGGCACAATGGTGAAACTAGGCAGTGAGGTCCACTTACCTAATTTTTTCTTAATGCAGTGAGATAGACAGGGGAGGCAATTAGCTACATTTTACAGAAGAGGAAACAAACCTACAAAATTTTTTTTTAATTTTAGAGACAAGGTCTCACTTTGTCACCCAGACTGGAGTGCAATCATAGCTCACTGCAGCCTTGAACTTTTGGGCTCAAGGTGACCTCCTGCCCCTGCCTCCCAAGTAGCTGGGACTACAGGCATGTGCCATCGTGCTGCCTAATTTTTTAAGTTTTAGTTTATTTTAGAGATGGGGTCCCCCTGTGCTGTCCAGGATGAGGAAAAAAGGCCTTCTGTAGCTTTGATAAAAGAGCCAGATAAGTTTAGGCTTTATGGGCCATATAGTGTTGCAGTGAGACTTTGCAATTGTAGTGCAAAAGTGGCCATAGACAGTATTTAAATGAATGAGTGTTGCTGTGTTCCAATAAAACTTCATTTATGGACTCTGAAATTTGAATTTTATATAATGTTATATGTTATAAAATATCCTTTTTAAAAAATATTTTTCAAGAACTGAAAAAATGTAAAATGCATTCTTGGTTCTCAGGCCATTTAAGTAAAGGCAGGAACTGGTTTTGGCTGGTGGGCCATAGTTCATCTCTTCTTTATGTGATCACTTCTTCTGTATCTTAGATAATAGTACTTGTGGAGCCGGGCTCGGTGGCTCAGCCTGTAATCCCGCACCTTTGGGAGGCTGAGGTGAG